TTCTCAAGGAGTTAAGGTCCGCAGTATAGTCCATTTGCTCTAGGGCTATAGCGCAGTTTTCCATTTTTATAGCTAACCTCGACATTGCCTCAGCATCGTTTTGTTCTATGTTCGAGCATTCCATCAGATCCTGTAGTAAGGCCCGGCTGACTTCATGGGTCCTTCCAAACAAACGTTGAGTATATCCCGAGCCCTACGATAACCAGCAGATGGTGGTAACATAATGCATTCCTCTATAGCCTCCCTGGCCTTACCTTTACAGTAATGTAACAAGTATAACAGCCTCTGTCCATCATCATCAACCTTAGAGACAACGTAGAGCTCAAACTGCCTCATAAACTTCCAATATTTGGCTGGATGTCCGTCAAAGCTGCTTAATTCTACTTTCGGTAACTCATGGCCAACACTGACACAAGGCAACGTAGCGGCAACCCCTTTGTTTTCTGCGCTGCTCGCCTGGCTAGTCGTTTCACGATCAGAACTGCTATGAGGGTCAATGCCAAGACAAACTGATTTGTGACACTTTATATCATCATCCAAGGAAAAGGTATCACCTAAACCCCCATTCACATCTAAGTTGAGTTCTTTATGCAGACGCAACCTTTCCTGTCTTTGTTTAGCCTTGAATTCACGAAGTTCCAACTCTTGCCTTTCATCCAACTGTCGTACCTTCAACTGAGCAGAGGTCCTACAAGGACTAGTCTTACTATAGTCAATAACTGTACCATTATCAGAGCCACGGCATGAAATAACATCAAGAGGGACTTGCTTGGTATCTGAGGTCGGATCCATGGACATGTCACCTTCCCCGTCCGGAATTGACTCAAGGAACACCTTGCGATTGCCAGGTACAGCAGTGACGGGTTGTTGAGTACTGTAGCGGCCAGAATCCAATAATCTTGGCCTGAACGCGGGAAATAGCTAGGCGGTGCCAACTGACGTGAATCTGACTAGTTCCTGCGTTCTACTGTATAGCTTCCTAACTTCCGCGAGTGACGCACAGTCAAAGGTTGGATCGAAATATCAAAACACGGTTTGTAGTAATTCAATAGTAGATTCGTAACAAAATCTGTGGTACTATCAAAGCAACAATAAGTTATGTCAAATTACAAAAATACCTCAACAGTGCCGTTGGGTAACTATACAGTCCAAAACGTTCTCGGGTACAAATACGTACTACACGGTAAAAACTGGTTAAAAAATACAACTGTTAAATACCTGTCGGTCAATAGGAATATTCCCGGCAAAAGGGATCAAAACTCTGCCTACAGGAATCAAATCAACAAACAAACGTTTCCAGTAGACAGTCAAAAGACAAACAGTCAAATCACTGCACAACCGTAAGTTGAACCAAAACAAAATGTCGTGCGCAGTAAAACAACATCACCTTATCAACAGTCCAGCGTCACATAATAGGAAAGTGAAACACTCATAATAAGTCTCAAACATACAAAGGCAAATACCGAGTGTAAAGTCAAATAAGACAGTTAAACAAGCAAATAACATTACACCGGCGAGGGTCAAAGGTACACCATCCACAACGAGGGTAAAAATGTTAAAATAAATGTCAATACAATCAAATAAGGGTGATCGGGAGGGATTTTCAGATCATTTTTCCGTTACACTTACACCCGTTATTTCTCTCTGATAGTTCTGCGTGCATCAGTTTGAAATGTATGGCGTTTTACACACATGTAAAATCCACAATCATGGCAAGGTAGATCTCCTGCTGCTTAGTTATTTGCATCACAGCAAATATTTCCAGTTTTATCGGTTTGAATTGCTACTAACGATAACAACTGAAGAGCGGTAGATGCCAGTACTCAGATATTCACCCAGATTAAATGGCCATGCGGATACTTACTGATTCCTGAAATCGTTGGAAATTGCTGTTAGAACAAACGTTTACCTGAAGAAACATAGGATTTGGCAGTCATGTTGACTACTCGTGACGCAAACATCGAATATTGGGAGGGTTTGATGTCACTTTGGTGCAAAAAAGGACTGAATGGGAATGATTTAAACATAAAAACAACTTATATATACTTGTAGGCTATATTTTCCCGCCCTTTTCATAACTTTCAGGCACCTGATATCATGACAGACTTAAATATCCCTCCTTCTGTACCGTTCAAAACAGTTCAAATGTAGATTTCCCTACCACCATCAATTTGGTGACATTATGTTTGCTACAATGCAATTCATCTTATCCATGACTCGTCCGCTGCTGGTGCACTCACAACTACTGAAACCACAGTGTAACTGGTATCCCTAAAGCGAAAAACTTCACTTATGCACACCTACCAAGGGAATCTTCATAACTAATACTGGATGGTCGTACAAGCTCTTCACTGAAACGTAGCGTTACCCTTCAGCGTGCTACTCAGAGCTCCCTAATCGTCTCAAGACTCTACTGGCAAGACACAAGAAGGCTGTATCCAGCGAAACAGGGAGCTGATATAATTTCGGAGGTAGGGATTACCACCCGTCACGGAACCAGTAACCATCACCACTGCTGATAGTTCCTAGGAAGAAATTGAAGGGAAAGATACCATGAGCAACCATAGGGCTCCGAAGAGAGAAATGGTTGTAGATAAATACTCTGTTCGGCATATGCACGATTCAGTTATTTCCGTGTCTAACGCAGGCGCCCCGAAGACTGGTCATATATAGGCGTGCCATTATGCGCCCATGGAACCCTCTGAAATTCCAAAAATAGCAACACTATCTCTTTGGGATCATTCCAGTTCATTTGAACATCCCTAGGTTTGGCGAATGCAGCGCAGACTCTCTGAAGATCTTCATTGTTCACCTAGTTTCCGTACTTATGTCGATGACTTGCTTAGTGCAAGCACCCCAGAAAAAGAAAAGTTCAAACGCTGTAAACTCTCACTAACGATTGTGCAGACAATGTTTGCCGAATGCCGCCTTCTTTTCATGAATCATGCATATTCATTGGTGTAGTCAGTTTTTATCATCCATCCATTCCTCACTAAGCGCGATCAGACTAGGCGCTGGCAAGACTGCCAAAACTTCATGCAAAAGAGATACACATTACTGCAACCGCAATAAAAGCGTCTGACCAGCTAGGAGAGAATACTGGCCCCGAAACTTTGTTGGCATGTCGTGATGCAAACGCCCTGCTTTTCATCATGGCAGATGCGCCGAACCTGGTAGTTGAAGCAATGCACTGACAATTTCCCAGTCAAGGACGGCAACTAATATTTTTCTTTCTGAAACATTTGGCCTTCACGCAAACACAAATTAATGGCGGATTATCTGGTAGGTAAACGGTTCTAACATTTGGTCAAAGAGGCAACGTTTATTGTCGAAAGAAATCGTGGACCTCTGATGGAAACCACGGAGGTGGTGCACGCCATTTATTATCCACGAAAGCTTCGGCCTACAGAGTTCATTTGGCAATTCACGACGGACATACGGTTAGTTCATGGAAAAATAATGAAGCTGATGTCTTGTCACGCATGAATTTGAACAGTATTGAAAGCCCCGATGCAAACTTGACCCGGATTGCTAAGCATTAACAAGTGGAAAACGAATTGGGTGAATTAGTATTTTCTGAATCACGTATACTGAAACCCACCAGGGTTCCGGTACGCAGTTCTTCGATGGCATGCGGCGCTTCTCGTGGATTTTTGAGCCCGTTAATTTCCCAGCCTGTGAAACCCACCCTCTTCCAGAAATTGCGAGACATGTCTACTGTTTAACTGATTTTCAGTGGGTTTGTATGGTCAGACATCAAAATGGTGTACAAATAATGGCTGAAGACTTGCTTGCACCGTCAAAGGTGGAGGTTAAAAGAAACGCTTGGCTCCCAAGGCAGTTCTACGGCATCCGATGTCGGATTTAAGTTTCTGCACACTGGTGCAGTCATATCACTGCCTCCGTTCGTGAAGCTGTAAATGTATCCTGACAAAAATCCATCCCTCCACAAGACGGCTGACTTCCATCAGGCTGTCAGATAGCCTTCCCTGAAACCGTCGTCATAAACTTTATCGAATGATTAATTTCTGACGTGCCGTACGGCGGGCTTAAGGGCAAAGTTCAGCGGGTCACAGCACTTTGCTCTCATTTGGATGCAAAATTAGTTTTTGCCGACGAGAAATGGATGTATTCAGTTGCCTCGAATTAGGAAAATCATATTATTCTCAAGAGTCAGAGGACTCAAAGGTGGAAGAGAAGCGGCCATTAACATTAGCACTCACCTAAACACCTAAGGGGCCAGTTGCTAGACTCCTTCCGGTGCCCCGTTACCACGAGCCAGGCAAAGTAAATGGCATGGGCCATACGTAGTCCTTCGTTCAGTGAAATAGAGAATAAGAGAGGAGGTTGGCTACGCTTCCGATGGCGACATGACCTTCCGCACTGTTTCTAGGTCAACGCTTCATGGCCGACTTCCAATTTTTTGTGACCTATATGCGCAACTACAACAGTTTAAGGTAATTTCCAACATGAATACGGACAGCGCACGCAGATTTCACCTCCGTTCGTCAAGATTGTTATAGATCTTATCCTAACAAAATACATGACAAAAACAGGTAGGCCAAAATACACGGCACGGTATTTGAATAGACATAATTGATTTTGTTGTTCAATACCCATTATATACAAACAAAGCGTATAAATTAGTGTAACATTGATGTATAAGATGTTTGCAAAGATGTATGAAAAGTTACATGAAGTAGATAGAAAATTGCTAAGGAAAGCATGAATTTAAAAACTTTCATGGATTTTATAAGCAGCTCTGTAGCTTCTTCGAACAGACAATTCATAATTTCTTAAAGAAAATGTAGAAGAAGACAATCCCAGCTTCAAAAACCATACGCAAACATACTAAAAGACTTCTACGGCCATCTAGAAGGCTTTCTAGAAAAAGAACTGGATCTCAAGACCTAGGCTTATGAGTTCAGAATCGCCAGTTTTCTATGCTTAACACCTCTTTTGGGGTGTTAGATATGTTAGAACGCACTACAACGCATAAACTGCGTTCCGCGCGCTTGTTCCTAATTTTCGTGTTCACTGCCGGCAATCGCCATGTTGTTGTGTAAGCTTTACAAGGCTTGATTGACGTTAGTGGTCATTATTCCGTCCACTGTGTGCAGTGAGTAACTTGAAGCTTAGTTTTAATTATTCCTGTTACTGATTGTAATATTTGTAATCCAGAATGCCGTACCAAGGTTAAATGGACACCTGATACCTATAGTAACGTAGTCCTAATTACTCAGCTAGGGTTTGTAACGGTGACCAGGACAAATCCTAAAAGTTTATTCGACAACACACCGACAAACTTCAACTTCTGTGTACCAAGAATTTTAACCCTTGCAAATTCAAATCTCTCGGCTGTTTGTGGTAACAGATTAAATGGTTCTCTAACTATAGGACAATTGCCCAACTTCATTAACTGTCTCCTTTCGAATCAAAATGCACTTAGAAACCTCCTCATTCATGCTGTAAGCAATGAACCACACTGAGTGCATGGGGGCTAGTGGTACCGCCTGACTCCACAAACCTCGGTAGGTGGAGCGGGACTCAAACCCGTGACCCAGTGGTTGAAAGTTTCTAAACCAATTAGCCACAGCTCCACTGTGTCCTAAAAATTGCAAACTACAGTGTATAGAGACATTCCTAACTATATTGTAGTCTAAGGTTCTCGTGTTTGGTCACAAATAGTGTCATTAATTTTCCATTTTCGGTGAAGTTGTATATTTTCCCTACACACCAAATGACATCAGACCGACGGTACAGTGAAAAATTACTTTAGATAGTGGGACAAGTGCTACATCCTGTGTGTAAAAATGAAAAGCTTTTTCAACCCTATATATATATATATATATATATATATATATATATATATATATATATATATATATATATACATGGAGAGAGAAAGTACAAGCGGGTGGATTTTTTTTAATTATTCTTCTAGTTAAGCATGACGGATGCATAGAAGGGTTCTTTGGTCTGTTATAACAAGTCCCAGAATCAGAGCTTGCAAAACTATGAGTGAAATTAAGATATGATGCCCTTGTGATTTGCCTTTCAAAATCTGCGTACAGCGTGTTTCCCACTATCATCTTAATACGATTACTGCATTATTAGGTGCTTTATATACTTATAGTTGGCATCCAGAAACTTAGAACCAGATTAAGGGACTTCTTTTGCTGAAGAACGATAAAAATTTGCGAAATGTATAGTATTCTTCAAGCTCTAAGTTTTGTGTTTAATCCTTGGACCTAACCTCGCATCTTTTACTTTATTACAGTTATGTCAACAGTACTACACTGGACAACTTAGTTTATCAGGCGCTATATTCAGTGATCGGAGCTGTCGCTAAGTGGTTCAGGGAGATGGCTATCAACCACTGAGTCACGGGTCCGAACCCTGCTTCATCTACTGTGGTTTAGGTAGCCAGGTAATATCGCTAGCCCCCACACATCATAGGTGTAGCTCACTGCCTACTGCACGAATGTGCATAAGCTGACTGAGTGCATTTCGTCTCGTTATTCAATGGTCTTCATTGTCAAGTTAGTGCAGTATACAAAGCAATGTGAGATAAATTTTTTAAACGCACTTGAGTGTCAACATCATTCCACGATTACTTTCGATTATTAGCCACAACTAGATCTTAAATTGTACATCGACATTGGTTCAGCATCTCTTAATTAAAGTAAAGCGTGACAAACTAGATGCGAGAAAAAATGATTGGCTGTGGTGGGTCATTTCCAGAAACCTCTACAAATCATGATCAGGATGTACTTACAAAGCGAAATATTAGTTATGCTTTCAAAGTTTATTCTAGTTGCTTCTTACTGTTTGTGTAGTCGTTGCTAAAGATCGTAAGTAAGGAAAAATACTTCATGTATTATGTTAGTGAATTCGCTAATGAAAAGCCGTGAAGTCGTAGTAGCCGAAATAATTTGACACCTAATGAGCTCAAAAACAGTGTTTAAGGGAAGCAACTAACTCGTATGTATCGTGTTGTGTAACCATGTGAGCAGTGTGAGGCATCGTGTTTTATGTAAAGAAGTGTGACGGTTAATAGTGTCATAAGTCACCTACTGAAACTGCTAGAACATATTTTTCGCACCTTGAGTATCTGTACTTCATCTCAGTATGAAGCAGAATTGGAATAAAAAGGTTGACTGTAACAAAACCAAGATGTAGCGTCGATCCTGACGTTTGAACCGTGTCCAGGGAAAATAGGCTGAAGATTGTAGTCTATGAGACAAGTGAAACCGAAAGGTAGGGATTGTTATGTGTCCTAAAAGCAACCGATGTTGCAAGTGTATGCGTCATCTTCATGATTACATCAAGTTTCATGATTTGACCCAACCCTGCTTCCTACAACTTTTATCATGTAAATGTAAAAGTAATTGGAATTCCGTTTTATTTAGTTTATCAAATGCCACAGAAAGAAGCAGTTCTATATATTGGACATGTGTATGAAATATCTAAGGACCCAAATAGCATAGAATTTTAATTAGTGTCCCTATTTCTTTGTCTTTTATCTTATGCTTTAATGTTAACTATTGTAACCTGGATCGTTATGGGATAAAACTAGGTTTAATCAATACAGTTACTGAAAGATCTAACTTTGGACATGCTCGTAAAGTTAGAATCCAAATGGCTACATTATTCATCCAATAAATTATTAGTGTGATTGAAAGAGGTATTTGTCAAGCATAAAAGTTACCAAAGACTAATGTGAAGATTCCAAGTTACATGGGTTTAAATTGGGACAGGAAAAGTTTCGAGATTATTAGAAGCACATGAAAGCCAGTGTTAGCATGTTAACTTCTTCACCTCGACATGAAGTTTCAGTTTTAGTTGATCATGCATAGGATTTATTGCATATTGTAACTTCTACCGCTATTTTTTGCCGAAACTATACAGGAATCTTGGTGTAGAGTTCTCTTTCATTTGATTTAAGCAACAAGCTATTGGATCTTCACCATTGCAATCAGTAAAATACTTGCATGTATACAGATGACTTGAATAACATGTTACGGTAGTGAAATATTGTAATATGATCCTGCACATTCACCATCATAATCAACATAGGACCAGGCATTACTGCCCAACGCTCCGAGTTCCCACACCTCATGTCAGTACATCAAGTAAAAAGGCAGTCAAGTGGAAGATGAAGAAGAGAAATTTCGGTCAAAAAAAATATAAAGTACGAAAAGAGAGAAAGGAAGAATAAGAAAGTGGTGAGATTCGGTATAGCGTTGTTAAGATGGGGATAATGTATGTATACATCTGCGCCACTGACAACGGTTCTGAACCATATCACCTAGAGTCAGTCTCAAACCACTAGTTTCTCTTGCCCCACGGATGGACTCCAACCACCTAGTCTGCATCACCCCACATGACTCATACCAACAATCAGAGACTTCACACATTGATGCCTTGTTTTAGTGTGACCACCTCGAGTCTTTTTCCAGCCTGAACCTATTTCGGCCAACATTGTGTGACGAGGCGATTGACGACTAGGCATGCTCAACACATGTCATGTTCAAGCCAACTCAGTTGATGATGGTTCACAACAGTGTCAACTGTCTTACCTTCCCCCCCCCCCTAATACTCTACACCTGACTTCTGCGTTACTCACGTGGTGACACCTCAATACACAACTTATGCTATGAAGGCAACGCTGGCCAAACACCTGAAGCCAGCCTTCTCACATCTTCCATCTTCAATGACCATGTTTCACAGCCATAGTGTAGGACAGAGTGGATTGATGTGCAGGTGCAGTACACGCGACCCTTAATAGACAGACAATCGGATATCACGGTGGCGCCATAGGTGGTGTCAGTTGGCGAAAGCCCACAAGTGTTTGAGTAGGGAGCCTTCGATAAAGTGATATACTTACTCGTCATACCTTTCAGTGAGAGACATTTCCATAAGATTTCTCGGTCAACGGAGTCGAATGCCGCCTTCAGCTAGTGCTGGGCTTCATTAAGCTTGTCTCTGTTCCAGGACCTGGCGCAGTGTAAATATTTGGTCAATACACCCGCTGCCGGGTCTAAATCCTGACAGGTTTACTCGGGCTTGCTGTTACCCAGCTCCAATCAGTCGTCGAAGTATTATAGAACCTAGAATCTCAGATACTATGTTCGCCAAACTGATTCCTCTGTGGTTATTTCAAGAGGACGTCCCGACTTTCTTGAAGACTGGAATAATCAGTGATTTAGACTAGTCAGAAGGGATCGTATTTGGTTCTCATATACTGGTTAACACTTCCTTTAACCTGACTAGGAGCACCTTACCACCATCTTTGTATACCTCAGGGGTTGGTCCATCTGGTCCCGCTGCCCTTCCTCCTTTCAGGTTACTTACTGCCTTCTCGACTTCTAGTGTTGGGGACCTATCTCAATGTTCCATTCAGGATCCGACTAGATGGCGGGCAACGCAATGTTGGCTAGAGGCCATTTAAGCTGTTCCTCGAAGTGTTTAGCCCATCGTTCCAGTCGTCTCCCCTGCGAATGAATCGCAGATCCGTCCTTCTCCGCTATAGCCTCACTAACTAAATAACGGTTTACTATTACCGATTTCCGCCGCCTTTTCCATCTCTTTAGCCCTGGCTGCCCACCACTGTCCTCAGTCGTTGCGTAGACTTTTTCTCAACCTACTTTTAGGTTGTGCTTGCTCTTCATTGTTCTCAGAGCCTGCAGGGATACGTTCACGTGCATCCATTAGTCCGGAAGAAGCTGCTGATATCCACTGGCTCTTTTCAGCCACTATTTCAGAGTCGGCTACGGTATTCAGCGCTGCTTTTACAGCAGACTGGAGATGGCACCAAGCTTCTTCTGGATGAGTGATAGTCTTCTGTTCCAATAACTGCCTAGCGAATTTCTCACTGAACACGGCTTTGATGTTTTCTTTGTCGAGCTGCACTCGTAGTGGTTTTGTTGCCAAATTTTTTCTGCATCCATTGAGACGCAGGCATATACACCCTTGGACCAACGCGTGGTTGCTATCCAAACACGTACTCCAGAAGGAGCGGCAGTCTTCCACCGATTCTCTCTAGCGATAACTAACAGCAATGTGGTCTATGTGTCCATCGCTGAGTTGACCTCGGGGGACGCCACGTCATATAGT